GGGGGGGGGGGGGTGTGGTGATGTTTGTGGCAGCGAATATTCCTAAGAGTTCGATTCAAAAATAAGGCACGGGTACCAAGATCTGGTTGCTACGCATAATTTGAATCTTAAATTTTTTATCTTTGAAATCTTTGAGAGAAACAAGGTATTACAATTTAAATACATTTGTTGTTTTATGGGTTTGGACTTTCGGGGAAACTTGGGGTTTGTTTCTCGCAAAAAGTAACAAGAATTGAATGTTGAAGACTATGTAATTGAAAAAATACAAAACAAAAGTGGCTGTCCAACTAGAACTACAACTTTTGCGAACCACCCATAACATAATCGTGAAATAGAATTTATACATTTAGAGCAACTACAATTGTGTTGATAATTTTCTTTATCGTGAAAAACGAACTCCTGTTCTGGATACAAGATTCTACCATATGCTTCCAGGTTGTCACTCAAACGTCGATCGAAATTCCATTCAAATAGCTCAAACACAAGTGAACAGGGGTGTGTAAAATATTTTCAAAATGTTTTGCAATTAGGGAAATTTATCGAAATATTCGCAAGAAGGGAATGCATAGACTTAATTTGGAACTTAATACCATTTGATGACAATTGGGCATAGATGTGGTTTCTTTGTGTTTCAACCTTATGTTGTCCTGCAAGTAGGCATACTCGCACCTTTTCTAGAATTTCACTTGATCTACAAAATAATCTAGTGTGACACGATCATATAGGAATCAGATAATAAATACAAGGGATTGAAATAACATGATCAATATGAATGTGGCACGGTTAACACTTACTTTTAAAAACATGTTTTTCTATGAACAGCGAACGTCTTGGCGCAAACGCGCAACATTGATTGTTCTTTCTGGTACAATAATGTTTTATACAAAATACATCCTGCTGGTTTGATATATTGAAGAACTCGTGAGTGGCATAACAGCTGATTAACTCAAGCGTCCCCTTTATCATACAATTCAAACAAGCAGCTCAAGATTCCTCCACGTCATCCATTGTAGGTTCTGTGTTTTCAGTGGTGGTCGTTGCCTCCGCAGAAGATACGACTGATCCGTCATTAGCGGCGTCATCATCCGTTGTTGTTGAAGGTTGTGCCTCCTCAGTTTCCATATCAGATACAGCCATGCTTGGCAATTCTTCGGCTGATGAAGAGGCCGGTGCATTTTCAAGCGAGGACGAGGCTACGTCAACAGATTCAATAGCTTGTACAGCCTCTTGAGCCTCTGATGACGTAACTTGATCTTGCATTGATGACGTCAGCAGTACAACAGCCTCGTTAGGAATTTGATCTGATGTATCGACGGTTGATGTGCTTTCAGCCTGAGAAACTGAAGCCTCGATTTCAATTGTACCTGAATCAGTTACAGTGGCAGTTGCCAAGGGTACATTAGATTTTCCTGAAGTAACATTGTTCAAAGCCAAGAGGCCAATCTTTGCAAGTTGTTGCAGCTGTTCCATATTCAAATTAGCAATGGAGAAGTTTTCTAGTTGGCCTTCGGGCAGAGTGAGTGAGAAAGTTCCGATGGTAGTTGACTCTGCCGCTCCGTCCAGGCTGTCACCCTCATCTATAAAAATGGAGACAAACATATCTACTGTGCTTCACAATCCAGTTTCAAATAACAAAAATGTGTGAGAAAGAAAACATTGTTCCTCAAAGTGAATAAGCAAAAAATATTAGACATCAAAGCTCTCTTAAATCCAGCTTATAAATTTGGTTAACAATCTCACCTCTACCAAACTTCCTTATGGCAGTATAGGACCTTGTCATCGATTTCACCACCAAGAAACTAGCGATCTCGCATTACCATATAAGGCCTAACATTTGTTAAAAATCATAGACCATTAAACACTCAAATGGAAACGAACAAAAAATAATTATGCATACCTGATTCCCTTTTAATACCTCCGACATCGCCATTTGAGGCTAGCCTCTTAACAGCTGGTTCGCCATACATCTTCGCTGAAGATCTACGCTTTTTTGGCTTTGCTTGTGGATATCCTTCCGCCGGCTGAAAAAGTAAAAGAGTTTTGCAAGCAATGATGGAAGCAATACTGTATATACAATAATAGATCATTGGATCTGATTAGAAAGCTGATTCTAGAATGTCATATGCAAAGTTCGTGCAAATGTCGAAGAGTTTTTTAGCCAAGAATCTAAGGCTAGTGGCTTCTAACTTCCCGGGAAATAGCATGCATTGGAACAAGAGGTCTCTAAAAAAGTATACCACAACGGTCATGCCGACATCGGATTTGCAAAGGGGCTCTAGACTATTTTTAAGTTATCATTTTCATTATATATGATGTTAGCTATAATTGAAGATAAAACGTAAAACTGTTATAAACCTAAGGATAAAAATGAATTGAAAATTAAGAATTAGAGAACATGGTTAAAGGGTTTATGGGAAAAATGGATAGGTACGACAGACGAAATGTCTTCTCTATTATTGAGTTTTCAGCAGGGGCGGACACTTGGTCAAAGATGGGGGGGACTGGGGACAAGCCTATTTTCTCAACAGGATGATGTCACATTTCACATTGTTTTAGAACAAAAGACTATTGTCCTCTAAAGTACTGGGGTGGCGGTCGTCCCCCTCGCCCCCCAAGGTGTCCGCTACTGCTTTTCAGGCTAGTCTTGAAGAGCTTTGGGTTCCAGATAAAGAGAAAAAGGGACGAATCTCGCAGAAAACTGCAGGGCTTGCAGAATCGGAGAAGCAAACTTGCAATTTTACATAAAATAACCACATGAGATGGGATGTTTAAGTAAGGTAGTGATTTAGATGCCAAAAAGCATTGGCAGTAGCGCCCCGTCACGGAACGTGCGATGATGCGATCTTTGACTCAAATAATAGAGACTTACTGCAGAATGATGCAAGCTTACCATAGGCAAGGGGGTGAGAGCACCTGAAATCAAATCAGCCTGAATCTGCTGGATCAGATTCTGAATTTCAATCATCGGTGGAAAGTATTTTTTATCGTGTTTCGGCACTTTCTCCTCCCCTGCGGCGACCATTTCTTTCTCCACGTAATTCCTTGCTATCTGTCTGACAACAAATGGTGACGTCACGCCCTGGCGAACGACCTCCTTCACTTTGGTTACGACTCTTTGGTTGATGTCTGTTCTGTATTCCCCAGACGAGGCAATAGAGTCTACTGTGGGAGTTGTTGATGCACCGAACATGTGATAACGATGGGTGCTTGCGTCGGGCAGTTGCATGTAAAGCCTAAATGTTAAACAGAAAATAGGAGTGAGATAAACATCATTATGAAGCAATTATGCAACCATAAAGTCCTAAGGCCTTCTTTTGAATTGTTGGTTTCAAGGTGCCTAGACCTTTACGGTTCCCAATCTGATTCTTGTTTCACATAAGTCAGGTCTTTGCCCATGGTAAAACTCTAAACAGTACACATCTCCCTACTAAAGCGAACCGTTTATCCACCAAACCAAACAGCCTTGTTAAAGACTACGAAGCAAGGAAAACTTAGGCCTTCTTAGACTGACAGTTAGATGCTGCTATCGTCACATAGTTTTATTATTGAAGATAGCTGTAGTCAACAAGGTATTATCATGCAAGATTAATAAACTATACAAAGTTTGACAAAATATATTTCAAATATTTCCTGGATCAAATGTCATCTTACGTTTCTTTTCAATCAGTTAACCATTGATGGAAAAATCTTGTATGTTTGCAATGATTCTCAGTTTTCTAAAACTTTTGAAGTTAGCATCCACAGAGTCATCTTAACGCTCCTCGTTCAGCATTGAAGTTCCCACCATTTCTTCAATTAATACAGTTTGTTGTTACCCCCTGTAAACATAAAACTTTACCATACAATAAAATGACTTACCGTATTTCACCGCCTGACCACGTGTTCATTCCAAGTTCACGCAGTTGCTTTAAAGCCTGCTCTTGGTGGACTCTTAAAATTTTTGGATCCGTTGTTGAAACAACTTTAAACTCTGGGAACTTTCTCACTTTTTTTATAAACACCCTTGATGGACAGGTGAGGTTGACAACGCTCTTCAAAGATGCTTTATCCGCCGGTGAACTATTAAACATTCTCTTTAATGCGTTTGTCTTCTTTCTTGGTCCGTGCTCACATTCCATAACCGTGGCTCTTCGGCCTAAAAGAAACAAAATATTTTGTGATATTAACACTCCAGTCACCTCGTTGTCCTAGCCTTTAGTTACTCAAAAATGACAGTAATATATAAACAGAATAAAAATCCCAATACGTCACTTTTTGCCTAATAAAACCTTGCTATTATTCAGTTTCATCATAACGGAACGTTTTGTTCACGACAAACAATTATGAATTTTACAACATAAAGCAAATATCATAAGAAACTATACTGTTACTATTTTTCTTAAATCCATTAAAATTAACATCTCCTATTAATTTAACTTACTGATACCTGTGTTTTACAGAATTTCATTTTAACCAAGGCAAGAAGAACAAGTTAAGTATCTACACAAATAAAGCTAATAGAAAAGGATGAGTTTTGAAATCACCACCGTAAAACATCAAGCTTACCGATATTGATAAAGGGTATCCCGTCATATGGGACATGTTGGGATTTCCACATCAACCTCACTGTCCCGTTATCTTCTTTCACAGGGGACGGAGTCTGTCTAATTGCAAACAGGCTGTTTGTTTCTTTCTTGTATGCATTCAAAACTTGATCCATCTCGACTTCGTTCTTGACAAAACCATAGTAGCTATCACCTAAGAAAAACAGCAAAGTCATAGAAAACGTTTGAAAAACCTCTAAGCACAAGAGTACTTAAGTTCTGAAAGATCAGGACAGAAAGCAATGAGAAAGTACCGAACATTTAGTGACAAATTAAAAGTTTCACGAAAAAGAAATCAAAAATTCAAAAACGCTTAATCTATTCAGTTGATATAAATAATTTCACCAGTCATTTTTCGGAAGTTAAAAAACAGCATTTTATCTGAAAGTCTGATAGTTATATCAAATAATTTTAGCATTTTATTGACTAATTGATTAAATGTTTTTCCAGTCCGAAAAAGTCGTAGCAAATTAGCCATCACTTCCCTAGTCATTAACTTTATCTCAGAAATAAGCTTACAATTAGCTTAAAGTCTTAGTAAGTCGATTTTTATGTCGCCAAGTCCATTATTTCCCATGATTAGCACCATAAGTGTCATTGCACAACTAACATATCAGCCTAAACCAGACATATCTTCTGACTCCACCCAAATATGGCATACTAAGGCATTGATCCTCACAAGACAAGATCAGTATAAATGGGCTGATACATAATAAGGCAATTGAATTCAATTAGATAAGATGTCAACACTGACTTAAGTTTGACATGGATTTCACAGGAATATTAAAATATCTACAATCAAATATTTTAGCTTTAATTTTTTACAGGCCAGATTTATAGCTAATATTTCTGTTGACTAGCTTATAGCTAGTACATGAATAAGACATAAACATAAATCTTTGATATGGAAAAACAGGAAACAATAATGTATTGTAAGATGATTGAACAGACTTATCAAAATTAATGACAAAGTAACCTGAAAATTTTACCAAGAATGCTACTTTATCATTGATGGCAATACTTAGCTTAATTAATGGCAATGTAACAAACAAATGTTTTTCAATTTCCATTTAAAGAGCTTTTGCTTTCATTTGATTTTTCATTTGAAATTCAATTCATATGTTTTTACATATATAACTCAATGTGATAAAATTGTCAATTTTAACATTGTCCTTACCAATTTTTTGGAAATCTGCAAGATACTGTGCCCATGCTGGTTTTCCATCAAGATCAGGACCAGTGTATTCTTCAGCCGCCTCAACTTTCACTTCCTGATCTTCTGCATTAACATCCTTAGCATCGGCTTTATTTGCTGATGATGACAATGCACTAGATGCCAGTGCAAGTATATCCTGTGCAAGCGATACCTCTGATGGTGTTGGATATGCCTTGCCGGTTGCAGCTGCTTGTGCCTCAGCATTGGCAGCCACTTGAACAACTGCTGAGTCATCTGTTGTTGATGACATTCTCTCACCTTAAATAACAAAAGTGCATTCAAAAAATTACAACCAAACATTGTTGCAAAGCTAAAAAAAATTTACAGTATTTACAATGAATCCTGGATTCTTTAAGCCTTTAGACAAATGAGTTATGTTTCTGTGATTGTTTGGTTGCAAAAACTAGGGACCCCTTTTTTGTCCCTGTCATTTTAGAGTTGCAGATACAATGCATGAATGTCATGAAACAATGAAAAAGTCACTCTTCTTTTGGTTAATAAAAGTTTCATAGAAAAACCACTTGCCATTGTATTTAAATCTCAACTAAGACTTTAGGATACCCATTTGACATTGTGGATATCTTACAGCCTAAATCTAAAAAAATTGAAGATCTGATTTATTACTAAGTTGTTTGGCTTAGATTGTTTGCAGGGAATATGATAATGTCAAATTAACGCTATGAAACTTTTCTTTCTAGTTGAAATTTTTCAAAAGTGGCAAAAAAGTTTTGCTTTTCAATAGGTGGGATAGACAGAACATTTGTTTACTCAAAACAATGAACACATATGAAGTTTATATGTGCAGAATGATTTAAATATTTCCTGAACTGCCATGTTACACTGACAACTGCCAACACATCTGCTGCATTTTCAGTATGCTTCCTTTTAAGTCTGACTCACACCAATGACATATATTATCACTTAGATATTCTGACTAGACATCATTTAAGGTCCATAATTTTTCAGGAATTCTTTTTTACACTAATCGTTTAAAGGTCATAAGTTCAAAACAGGATTTTTTTATTTCTTTCCAGTATATATCAAAACCATGCTATTTGGTGTATGGAACAGGACAGCTTGAAGGCTGCCACTCTGAGTTTCAAATTAATGCATATAAAGTTTCACATAAAGCATGCAAGTTGGAGTAGCATCTTAGAACCCTCCTGTTCTATTACCAAATAACGGTAACAGTGTTTTTACAACAGACCACTAAACAGTAATTTTCAAATTTCAAAAGCACATTTTCACTTGTGAAAGTTTTTCTTCAGAGGTAATATCTGCAGTGGCCATATTGTCTTTCATTGTAGTGCTATTATTTGCTTTTCTTGATGTCTCTGTATCAATAGTTTAAAAAACAACACATCCATAGTGTCTTCAGCCATGTGCATATTCCAAGTCAGGGGCGGATCTAGAAATTATTCTGAGGGGTTCTAAAACGTAGGGCTTGGTAACCCAGGGTCAGGGGCGAAACTACTGGGGGGGTATGGGGGGTGCTGCACCCCCCCAATCTTCAAAAAAGCAGCTTTTGTCGGGCAAATTTATGGCTGCCAGTGTATCTGTCGGGCAAATCTGGAAATTTCTTTAGATCGCACTCTTATTGCTACTTTTTGCCCTAGCTTGGTTTTTTAATTCATGGTCTTTTCCCATATCTTTTTTTCAATCTCCTCCCAGTTGGGAAAACAAAACAGAAACGAGGCTAGGAACAGCAACATATATACATTTCTGTCTTTTGTCCACCGATCAGCGCTGTCGTCTCGAGCTCGACACGCACATGTTTATTTTCGCCTCGAGATGAAGTCTGAAGTATTGATCGACAGCGAAAGTATAGACGGAAAGTAAAGTGTGTTTGATGCGAGAAGAAAATGAGCATTGTGCATACCCATTCCCCCTACTTTTTGCAAAACAAGAGAGCTTTTTACAAAATCTTTTGTTGTGATTTCTAAATTTTTCCTTGACAAGCCCCCGCCCCCCCCCCCCC